CTGTCAGTGAAGGGAAGGAGGAGCTGCCTTTGTTCCAGGCAAGGGAGCAGATGCATGTCAGTGTACAGCCAGCTGGGGCTGCACACAAGCAGCAAAAACACACGTGCGCACAAGCACATGCGCGCGTTTCCAGCCAGGCACAGGCTGTGCAGAGCAGCCCTTCTTCTCAGGTATCCCGCTCCCCACTGGACGAGTCCTCGTGGGCACAGCCCTGCTCGCAGCCCATCTTCTGCTGGCATCTCCCTTGCTGGCAGCTTGTGCGGAGGTGCATCTAATTCTTGGTACATCTCTGGGGAATAATGGATGAATCTCCCAGACTGGAAGTGGGGAATTGTGGCAATGGTAGGGTGAAGTTACAGATGTTGTCTGGACACCAGGTCTGCCTTGTCTCTACTGTGCCAAGAAAGTGTCTGTCCCTCTGCTGCCAGGGCCCTTGGAAATCCCTGGAAATCAAACTGTCAGACAGTTGGGCAGAGAGAGTTGGCCTCAGTGAGAGCCGTGGGCTTGCAGGAAGTGTCTTGCAGACATGGGGCTGTGCACAGCCACGCGTACCCATGCATGTGGGTGTGCACGCCTCCATATTGCTGTGCACGCAGACAGCACCCACGTGAGCATATGTGCACACATATGTGCACCATTCCTCCTCCGCAAACCATGGGAGAGCTGAGGAGCTGTGCAAGAAGTGCACTGCTCACTCCTTCTTCTGGTGGCTCTGATGTAGGACTCTGTGGTTTATGATGGGCTTTGTGCTGAGCCTCCTTGGCAGGCAGGGAAGCAGGGAATCCATATCCCTGTGGGAGATGACCTGTCGGGGCAGGGCTGGAGTCATGAGGAATGGCCCTTTGTTATAGGCAAAATGTGGGAAGCAGGTTCCCACTGAAGAGAACAATATGTTGAAAGAGGTAAGCTGACCTGGGCAGAGCCTGAGCAGGCAGGGTCGAGGGCTCCTCAGGCTCCAGAGGATGAGCACCCAGATCTCCGGGAACTGGGCTGGAGGCAATGCCGAATCAGGCGCGATGCAGGCTGTGCCAGGGCTGGGAGGTACAACTGCGCACGGCTGACCTCAGCCCTGGGGACACATAAAATGGCACAGCTCCAGCCTCTCCTGCCTCTGACCTGCCCATGTGGGGCATGTTCAGAGCCTAGGTGCGTTGGCCTGGCCTGTGAGGGGTGCTGCACCCCCCTGGTCCCCCTGCCCCACTAGAGTGCCTTGGGTCTCTTCTGCAGATGGGCTCTTTGTGACAGACTACTTCACCCGCACGCCACGCAAGCTCAGCCCCTTCCGCTCCTTTGCCAGCATCGAGCTCTTCCACTTCCATATCCCTGAGGACACAGTCATCGCCATCTGGAACCTCATCACTTTCAAGGAGCAGGGTGGCACATTTGGGGATCAATGTCCAGATCGTAGCATCACCGTGTGAGTAGGCAGCCTGCCCTGGCTGTTTCCTTCCTGCCTGCCTCTGTCTGCCCCTGCTGCCCCTTGCTTGGACTTGCCCTGGAGCCTGCCTGCTCTTGTCTGCTTCTTCCCTTGCACAGGCACATGTACACACATGCACACATGCAGAGGAACACTCATGCATGCACATGTACACATCTGTGCACAGATGCATGTGCATACCTGCATATTTGCACATACATGCACACACACACACATGCCCACTCCCCATGATTCATCTTCCCAGGACTGTTGCAGGCTTTGCTCTTTTGTGCATCTCATACATGAACAGTTTTGCTTGAACACCTACCCAGGGAAGCTCACAGTCTCCAGCAAGGTCCCAGCTTATGAGTGGCTTCCCGTGCTGTCTTTGAGCTTCCTGACAGCATGGAGGACAGATC